CTGCCAGTCTGACATGAGGCTTTCTCGGCTGAGCAGCCTAGTTCTGTCCGGAACAGCGAACGGCAACTCCTCGGCTTAGTTGTCTTTCTCAAACGCACAGGCGATGCGGAAGCGGCGGAAGCGCCTGAGGAAGGTGCTGTGGAGGCTCCCGAAGCGGGCCCCGATGCCAGGCCCAGCGGTCCTTAGGATATTATATATAGTATATATATATATATTAGAATATATATATATATATACATATATATATATATATACACATATTTTTTTCTATATTATAGCAGAACTACAGGGTGTCAGTGGCGATCGCAATTGTCGTCGCACTACCAACATCATGGCATTAGTAGCCTTAGCCGGAGAACTGCAATACGAGAACGGAAGAGCAGCAGTGGCAGTGGCAGCAGTAGAATAATGATGACAGCGGTAGATCCTGTAGTCACAGGCTGAAGATTGGCAGGCTATGGGTAGGAGATGGTAGGAGTAAGAGGAGTAGGTAGAGGATGGTAGAGGTATGTGGTGGTTGTGCTTGTGCGGAGCAGCAGGTCTGTTAGTTGATAGCACCAGCACTGGAGTATGATGAGTCGAGAAAGACTAGTTGAAATCGGTTTCTTCAAGTATTCACTCTAATTACTGTAGCATGCTGTAGCCAGCAGAAGTGACCATATCTACTCTATTTGCAAATGCCGCAGCATCGTCGCGGTGAAAGCAACAGCCGGGGGAAGAGCAAGGGAGGGGTCACGAGTCAGGGAGCGGTGAAAGAAGAAGAGACGCAGATCTGCTGGGCATGCATATAGCAGCCGTGACATACCCGAATGGTTTTAAAGAATGGCTTGTGCATGCTTGTGTTGGCAATGATGATGCTCGGGACTCTGGTCGAGATGCAGCGCTGCTGCTGCTGCTGCTGCTGCTGCTGCTGCTGCGACAATGGGTCCTTGCACTTGAGCCGAAAGCCCTGTAGAGGCCGGAAGAGGAGGAGGATGAGGAGGAAGCGGACGTTACCCAGGCCCTTTGGCTATCTTGGCCTTGGCCGAGCGCCTGGTTTCAACCTTCTGATGCAGCCAGGTGAGAAGCGATGCCGTCGGTCAAGGAGCGACCGTCTCTTCCGTAGTGTTTCCGCGTGCGCATTGGTTGTGGCAGCCCGATTGATCAGCTTTGCTACATCGTCATGACATATCTTGGCGGTTTCGGGTGCAGCTCGTTCTGGCCCACCCTTTGGCGAGTCAGGCACGCAACCGGGCGAGAGGAGAAGCCGCAGGTCTGTGCTGAGCTTTGTTTGGCATGCCGGGTGTTGCAGTCTATTTGGCTCCTGCTTCCTTTGGGTGATTCCTTGATGCTGACACTGCCGCTTCATGTAGTCTCACACAGTGCTGCAACTCGATCCGTGTCCAATGCACTATTGATTTCCTCTGCAAGGGCATTCACGCAACAGTCCCGGACCAAGCTGAGTTCCAGCTTTGATTGGTTTTGTGGCATGTAGGTGCAGATTTGGAATCGTTTCCTTGATTCAGGTCGTTCAGTTTTGCTAGGCTTTCATCGTGATGTTCAGCTGGGCACATGCAAGAGTCCTTCCCACAGAGCTGTGTAGGTTGACGGCCAAAACTCTACGCGTACAGCACCCGAGAAGAGCCTTTGGTTTCGGAGAACCTGGCAGGAGCTTTTGAAAGCTGTCCGCACACTTCTCGTTGTCACGTAGTCTTTAGCCATGGGCTCGCTCAGCTGAGAACTGGAGAGTGGCTAATGCTACAACGAACCAGGCAGATGCGCGAGATGATCCGCAACCATGCGTTTTCCTCTGGGTGCTGCTCTTGTAGTGAAACCGCATCACCATGTCAGTGCTTGCTGCTGTTCTTTGCTGGTTTCCGTCAGACTCAAATTCCTGGTGAGGCTTCTCCGCATGTCAGCTTGGGAGCAAAGTTTAGGTTTAGGCAGGTGCGCTGACTGCAATCTGCAAGCGTTTCTTCCGAGGTTCCAGAGCTACAAGCAGTTTGCCGCCCGACCGGTTCCGCAAGATGACGACGAGATGAGGCTCTGCAGAACCGTGCAAGTTTGCTCGGGCCTCCTATTATTATTATTGTTATTATTCTTTTGTTTTTTTAATATAGGCAAACCATGACGAGTCTTTTATTATTATTGATATTGCTCCTCGATATTCTGAAGAACATTTGCTCACCTCAGGCCTCGCCGTAACTCAAAGGAGCGGAACGAGCCGGTGCGCAAGCGGCAAGAGTTCTTCGGGTCTGCAACTTACTCCTGCGATGCTGAGCAGTCGATGTGAGCATGTGACCACAGTTGTTTGTACAAAATTTGTTCTGTCCGTCCGTGTATCTACCGTAGTCCATCCATCTATCCCTCCATCCCTGCATCGCATCCCTACACCGATGCATCCCTGCATGCATGCATCCATGCATGCGTGCGTGAGTGCCCGCATGCCCGCATACCCACATACCCTCATGCACTCATGCACGCCCGTACATACGTTCACACATTGCCTGCATGGATACATGCATACATTGCTCATGCACTCAAGTCGAGGAACCTCTACACCTCCTCACAGATCTCCCTAGCCAGTTCCGACTTGCCAGGCTACTTGCGATTTGCCTGCCCGCATTTGCCTAACTTGCAATTGCATGCATTGTTATGTTGTGTATACATGCCCCACCTACCTCTGTGATTGTGCAACTGTGTACAATGCACACGTCTTGACATATCTAGGCGCTGGCCCATGTGTTGGTGGCGGTGGGCTGTGGTACTCGAGGGTAGGTTGCTTGAGTTGAAAGTTGAGAAGTCGTCCTGGACCAAGACGTAAGCCGGCCGTCTTCGGGGTGGAGCTTCTTACCGATGCTGAGAAGGAGGCTGGCCAAGAAGCCGTTTCAGCAAGAATCCTCCCTTGTCGCCTGCTTTCCGGCCTACTGCCATTGCCAGGTAATCATGCAGAGTGAGCTATGTCTGCTAGTACTCCCAATGCGAACAAGCATCATAATATTAATAGCAATTATAAGAATAGTAATGCTAGAAAATGTCTAACAAGCCATCATCATCATCATCATCATCATCATCATCATCATCGTCAACATCTTCATCATTATCACCGTAACCGTCCTCGTCGCCAACATTCACAATCACTTTAATCATCATGATCATAACCCTCACAGCACTCGGGGTGAATCATAGTAGTCATAATAGTCGTAATGACATTCATAACACTCATAGTAACGGCAATCGTTCGTCGTCCTCGTCGTCGTAGTAGTTAGTACTAGTAGTAGTAGTAGTAGTAGTAGCAGCAGTAGTAATAACAACAATAATAATACTCATTGTGACAATACGCGACATTACTACTTGTACTGGTACTGCTGCTACTATAACCGCTACTACCAGCAACAGTAGTCATAGTTATAACTGCGAAACCTCGTAGTGATACCTACAGCGAAATCTATACTAACAATCGTAATACTAGACATAACAGTAGTAACCAACTATACCTCGCAGTCTCTCATGATGGCCAGGCATGGGAGGCTGGCGTAAAAGGTCTCGGCCAACGCTCTGCCTCGGAGGCTGCTGCCATGGGGTAGACCCTGCGATTCAAGCGCTGATGATCATGAAACAAACCACGTGCATGACGGACTGTTCAGAAGCATTTTGGCTTCCCGGATGCCAGGGTGCCCTCTTGCGCTACGCGCAGAATCGTGTGGAGGACATGACGCGATCTGTCTGCCGGCGGCACGTGTCTTGCAGCTCAATGCCCAATGCGTGATCTCGACCTCTTCCGAGCAAAGGTGAAGAAGTCGCTGGGCGTGGACGTCACCCAAACCACGCGACGAAGGATGAGGCAGGAGATGCCCGGCCCTTCAGCCGGCACGCCTTGTAAGAGTACAGAGTATTTCAAAAATCTGTGCCGAGATGTACAGAGCTTCGACACCTTTTCAGTTGCAGCAAGCATGGCTCCTTCCCCGTCGTTCTTCCGGCTCGCAGCATCCGAACTTTGTTCTGATGCTCTGAAATCAAGAGCCCTATGTGCGTCTGTACCAAATCCGAAGTAGAGTTGTTCCTTGGCCGGGCAATTTGAAGAGAGGCAGCGTTTCATGTGCATCTGTGCATTTTGGGCATGTTTTTCCACGAGCCAGTACTGAGGTTACGAGAATACAAAAGATAGGATGAGGTCGGCATGGTCGGGGCCCCGCTTCGAGAAAGTTTGTTAGCGGAGTTGGGTCTCAGAGTCTCAGAATAGGTTTCTCTGGCGAGTTGATGCTTGTCTACTGTAGAAGTTGCAGGGTCTCAGGGCTGAGGGCATCGAGTACAAGATTTATCTTCGTCATGGTGGGCTCCTCTCATCAAGCCAAGCTGAAGCATGATGACGGCCCACCCTCTTGCCTGCCAAGGGGGGACAAGGGGAAAGGCGGCAACAACTGGAAGGTCCGACACACGACTTCCAAGGCGATTGGGCTGGGGATTGTATCGGATCTCCGGAACGGGTGCGAGGGGCCGGATTGGAGACACCTGAGGGGAGGCATCCAACAGGGGTCGACGCTCCTTCAGAGAGTGGCTTTCCGCATGAGTGTGCTTTCGTTCGCATATATTACATTATGTTATATTATATTATGTTATGTCATGTTATATATTATGTTACATTGTGCTATGTTATATTAAACTATAAAGTAGTGCATTCTATTACAGTATATTTTCATTCTAATATACTATAAAACAATACAGTATATTACACTACATTATATTACAATATATATATATTTTAGATTATCTTATGTAGTGTTTTATATTGTTTTATATTACATATTAGATCACACACACACATATATATATATATATATATATTTGTATATATGATATTATATATATGATACCGTATCATATTGTATTGTATTGTGTTGTATTGTATTATATTATATTTTATTATGTTATACTATGAACTAGATACCATGATACCATCTTAAATCATCATATATCATATAATATCAAATTATATCAAAACATATCATATTTTATCATATCATATTATTTTTTGTTATATTATATTTGCAATATAAAATAGAATACAATAATATAATATACTGCAAGATAATATAATCTAATACAATATAATATAGTGTAGTATAATATAGTGTGAAACATGTGCATATATATGTATACATGTATATTTACATATACATGTACATATATA